CTGTTGTTGTTATAAAGGAGCCATAAATTAATAGACAACAACACGTGAATATTAAAACACGGACATTTTTACTTGCACAGTAGTCATTGTATTTTTTCATTGGCTAAACAGCCGGATAATGCGACAAATCGCTAACCTTAAACACCCAGTCGTTCGTAACAGTCGAAGGCGGTATAGTACTATAGTAATAGAGCAAGTGCAGAGTCACTGAACCGGAATTGATAGCTTGAAAGCATTTAGCGCGGGGCCCTTGAAAGTGCGGGCCCCGTAGAATCTGTAGCTACTACATATAGTAGCTACTACTATATATAGTAGCTACACGTGTAGTAGCTGCTACTGGTCGCTCGCCCACAATGCGGGAGTTCGACACACATCCCCATGTAGGAACGCAGAGCTCGGGAAATCGTTGGGAGGTTGAGGGTTAACCACCCCTCCCCTTCCTCCCCCAATGTTGCCGTGGGTTTTATCGCGGTGTTCTGTTTGCCTCCCGATGTGTAGCGATGCAGTTGACTAAACAAGCCATTGTCTTTGCGCTGTTCGTCTTTGAGCGTCCTCTGGTCTAACCCTGTGTGAGACTAAAGAAAGCTCTCTCTGGTGTGGACCAATCAGTTTGAAAAACAATGCATATGGAGTGATATTAATCTAGGATTGATGCTTCCGTGACTGCATGAATTACTATACTCATTGGTTCTTTCGGTAAAGTCACGTATGTAGAAATTAAATCAAATTAAAATAGATCACGACGTTTCGAATGCAACACAAGCGCTCGTCCTCAGGTGGAAGTGTCGTAAACCACACAGCGAGGGAACACACAGAGGGACATCAAACACAGACATCACAGACATCACACACAGACATCACACACAGACATCACATACAGAGGGACATCAAACACAGACATCACAGACATCACACACAAGAGCACACAGAGAGACATCACACACAGAGCACACAGAGAGACACCACACACACAGACATCACATACATCACACACAGAGGGACATCAAACACAGACATCACACACAGAGCACACAGACATCACATACAGAGCACACAGACATCACACACAGACATCACACACAGAGCACACAGAGAGACATCACACACAGAGCACACAGACATCACATACAGAGCACACAGAGAGACATCACACACAGAGCACACAGAGAGACATCACACACACAGACATCACAGACATCACACACAAGAGCACACAGAGAGACATCACACACAGAGCACACAGAGAGACATCACACACAGAGCACACAGAGAGACATCACACACAGAGCACACAGACATCACACACAGACATCACACACAGAGGGACATCAAACATAGACATCACACACATCACACACAACAGCACACAGAAAGACATCACACACAGAGCACAGAGAGACATCACACACAGAGCACACAGAGAGACATCACACACAGAGCACACAGACATCACACAGAGAGCACACAGAGAGACATCACATACACAGAGCACACATCGCACACAGACATCACATACAGAGGGACATCGCACACAGACACCGCACACAGAGGGACATTACACACAGACATCACACACAGAGGGACATCGCACACAGACATCAAACATAGACATCACACACAGAGGGACATGGCACACAGAGAACGGCAAACTGCACGGAGGCAAATGCAGCAAGATGTGAGACGCGAACTCTGTACTGCCCAAAACACCCCTCTGTGTGTGATGTCCATATGTGTGCTGTGTGTGATGTCCCTGTGTGTGATGTCCCTCTGTGTGTGATGTTCCTGTGTGTGATGTCCCTCTGTGTGTGATGTCCATGTGTGTGTGATGTCCATATGTGTGTGATGTCCATATGTGTGCTGTGTGTGATGTCCCTGTGTGTGATGTCCCTCTGTGTGTGATGTCCCTCTGTGTGCTGTGTGTGATGTCACTCTGTGTGTGATGTTCCTCTGTGTGTTCCCTCGCTGTGTGGTTTACATTTTCACTTCAGGTATAGGGTGTAAGGGGCCGTTACCCCTTAGTGTTGTGCCCTTAGTTATAATAAACGTGTCGCCTTCAGCAAGTCTCGCTCTCCCTGCTTACCCACTACACATATAGAATCAGAGCATGTGTTTTTGTTTGCATGTTCACCACAAGTATCTGTGGTTAATGCAGACATAATTCCCTGCAGAAGGTTTCAGTTTTGTGCATTACTATCTTAACACAGCTGTTTTATTGATAGAAAGGGTAACATATATTCTTATATTTTGATACTGGCAAGGGAGGTCCCATGATGTAGCTGCTCGCCCCGAGCTCTCAATGTCCTGAAAGTGGCATTGTCTTCGTGCTGGTCGCCTTTTGGCGTCCTCTGGTCTAACACTGTGTGAGACTAGGCGCTAAAGAAAGCTGTCTCTGGTGTGGATCAATCAGTTTCAAATACAATGCATATATCAGGGCATGGTTTTTTTGCATGTTCACCACAAGTATCTGTGGTTAATGCAGACATAATTCCTTGCAAAAGGTTTCAGTTTGGTGTGTTAACATCCCAACACCTGTTTTATTGACAGAAAAGGTAAAACCTATTTTATAACCCAATACTCACGTACATCGGTAGAGATAAAAAAAAAAAAATTCTTACCACCATACGCATTTCCGTTCCCCTTACTACAGAAATTGCAGCAGGATCAATGTTCCCATCAATTTCGCCTCGAGGAGCAACGGCAGTTCATTAAATATGACCACTGCCCATACCAAATGTACCTATTTGCGCGAGTAGTCATCTTATATTCTCAATTCATACGCAGAGTATATCGTTCGTTGATGGCGCCGCTATACATTCCACAAGCAATGTGGGCAGGAATCAATTGCTGAATTGACTCATTAACCCTGACCATGGGAATTCATCAAGCTGGGGCGGTATCGTTACCACCCTACCCTGGGCCTGGCAGCAATGGGGTTTTCTGGGCCGCTGCTTGCCCACAGCTTTAGTATCCGACACAAGTGTTGTCTTGTTGAAATCGTATTTATCTGGAAGCGCCTTGTTGTACATATTTGAAAGCAAAGTTAACGTTTAGCAATGGGCCCGAAACTTGGCACCATGTTACAACTGTGCTCAGTGCCTAATGCGTGCCACTCCGTCTGCGTGCCACTCCGTCTATGTCCCACTCTGTCTGCGTGCCACTGAGCCTACGTGCCACTCCGTCTGTGCTACTCAGACTGCGTGCCACTACGTCGATATGCCAGACTGCGTGTCACTCAGCCTGCATGTCACTCAGTCTACGTGCCACTCCATCTATGTCCCACTCAGTCTACGTGCCACTCCATCTATGTCCCACTCAGACTGCGTGTCACTCAGCCTGCATGTCGCTCAGTCTACGTGCCACTCCATCTATGTCCCACTCAGTCTACGTGCCACTCCATCTATGTCCCACTCAGACTGCGTGTCACTCAGCCTGCATGTCACTCAGTCTACGTGCCACTCCATCTATGTCCCACTCAGTCTACGTGCCACTCCATCTATGTCCCACTCAGACTGCGTGTCACTCAGCCTGCATGTCACTCAGTCTACGTGCCACTCCATCTATGTCCCACTCAGTCTACGTGCCACTCCATCTATGTCCCACTCAGACTGCGTGCCCCTCCGTCTGCGTGCCACTCCGTCTCCGTACCACTCGGCCTGCGTGCAACTCGTCGAAGGGATTTCATCGAGTGACTGGAATGAAGACGTTTCACTGGTGCTGTACAGAAACTCATTACAGATGTGTTTTATTAGCACGTGGAGCCGGAACATGGTTCTGCGTGTTTGTGCGCATTCAGGGGCCATGGTGCACAGACCGCCACGATCTGTAAGGCAGTGCCGAGACGCTGCCACTGCACGTCGCGCCGAATACAGCGGTGCTCACGTTCTGTGTAACGTCACGACTGCACACTTAACCCGTATAAACGTCGTCTTTTTAAAAAAAATCCAAGAGTTGGGGGAGTGTCTCACTCTCCACTGCATTGTTAAACCGGAGAATATTGTACTGTCAGGTTCACCTTCTCAAGTTTGGACGCAAAAATTCACTCGGGCAATATTTCAATCTGTCGGAAACACCAACTTCCCACTCCCGTGCGGTTCACGCCGGGAAACTAGAAACGTCCATCTAAACCATAGCATGCCCAGAGTAATTCCTGCAGAGGCCTCTCTCGCCAAGCACCACAAACCTCGTCAGCAATGAGTCACCAGACGGCAGTCGCCCGAGACATTAAGTTGAATCAGCCCTCAGAGCTGGGCCCGGCCAATTCAGTGAAAGCTCATGTTTAGACGGAAGGATGGCT